GGGGGGGGGGGGGAGGGGGGGGGGGGGGGGGGGGGGGGGGGGGGGGGAAGGGACAAGAGAGCTGGCCTCAGCACCCCACCCATCTCCAGCCCAGAGCCCACCTGGCCTCTCAGAGGCTGTGATTAGGTTTCCCGCCAGGAGGAGAACAGGGAGCTTTCCCTCTCCCCTTTCCTTTTTTCTTCCCTTTTCTTCTTTTCAAAGGCTGAACCTAAGTTAATCGGATGAATTCCTCAGCAGTTGCACCAACAATTTTTCTAAGGTTCAGTCTCCCCAGAGCAACTCATAATTACTCCAGACTGAGACATTAAAGCAAAGGAGAAAGAAGAGGCAAAAAAAGATGTTTTTAATTAAAAAATTAATTTTCCAACAGACCCACTGATGGCTGGCTGGCTGTAGTGCTTCATTGAATGAATCCCTTGGTCCTCTTCCTGAGAAGTCTCCTCAGGGATGGCCAGGAACAGCCCCCTCCCTGGACAAAGCCCCTCCTCTGCCTCTGTCTCTCCTCACTTGTGCAAAGAGCTGGGCTCACAGGATCCTACATGAGAAGGGCAGACCCAAGCACAGGCTGGAGCCACACCGAGGACAGGCAGCTCCCTGCTGAAGGGAAGTCCCAGCCAGCAGGTGACCACGCCTGGGAGTCTGCTAGAAATGAAGACTCTTACACCCACCCACATTGCCCCACTGAGATTTCATTTTACTATGATCCCTGGTGAGTTACACTGTCCCTCAAGCAGCACCACCCTCGTCCATCTGGGCTCCAGGTATCTCCTCTGGAAAATAGGAATAACAACATCCACCTTGTTGCCCAGTTGCAAGCGTTCTGAAGATGCTCAAGGAAACAGTTTGAGAAACTGTAAAACAAGTACCTCAGAAGATGTGCACTATTAGCATGGGAACCTGTGCCATGGTCCGTGTCAGGACCTAGAGCATTTTGGGAACTTGACCCAGGAGCCAGAGAAAGGCCTTTGCCCTGCTCAGCACTCAGCACTCTGTGCCTGGGGCCCAGTAGGAGGTACCTAAGGGAACCAAAGAGCTTATGATCAGGAATTTTTTTTCCAGTGCTGGGATTTGAACCCAGTACTGGGATTTGCAGTGAGCTACATCTCCAACACCCATCCACCCACCTTTTTTTGAGACAGGGTCTCGAAATAGTAAATTTCCCAGGCCATGATCAACTTTCAAACCTCCAGCCTCAGCCTCCCAGAATGCTGGGAGTGCAGGTATGTGCTACCCCACCAAGTTTTCAAGGAGATCTTGAGGGGAGGAAATGAAGTCAGTGTGCCTGGGGCAATGTTGGGGTGCCTCCCCTGCGCAGAGCATGCTGGGGCTGCTGGTCGGGGAAGGCTGCTGGGGGCACAGGGAGCTCACACTCCATGCCATGGAGGGAAGATGCCCATCTCAGAAGATAGAAACAGCCAGGGCTCCCATTTCACCGTGCCATGGCCCTGGGGTCTCCCCTAAGGACAGAAGCTGGGGGATGGCCAGGAGACTCCAGATCACAACACTGAGGGTGATCCCCACTCTTTGCATAAGGACCTTTGAGACGGTGTTAAAGACTTTGTGGTGAGGAAGGGATACGTCCGTGGCTCAATGTGGGAATCACAGCAGCCATAACTGTTCTGTGTGGAAAAGTCACATACACAAACACATTCATATGCAGGGGCCCTGACCCCTCCTTGATGGCACTGGGAGCGGGGCTTGGCTGGTGATCAGCTCTGTTAGGTCAGACAGCAGGCCCCTCATCGTGGGGTTAGAGCCAGAGGTAAGAAGAGGACGACAGGAATTTCTGTTTGTGAACACTGCTGTGCAATTTACACAGCCGGAAGTGGGCTCATCCGACCCTGCGTCAGCTCGCAGCTTGATTTCTGACTTCACAGCCCCACAGCTGTGAGAAGTTAGTCTATCCTTTATGCTCCCATTCTGAGGCATTTTGTTACAGAAGCCCAAACCAAGGCAGTAGAGTATTAAGGAGATAAAAACCAAGATTTTAGAAAACAATGAAACATATCTAAGACCTGGTTTTGCACTGTGGACTTAAGGGAACTGAGGAGAACAACTGTAAATCCTATATTTCCGTGGATGGCAAAATAGGCAAAATCTGCCCCTCTGGATGAGCTTGCAGAGCAAAATTCCAAAACACATAAAGAAGATTGATGTAAAAGCAAAATCAACAATTAAAAGAATACTTAGTGAGCCAGGCATGATGGCTCATGCCTATAATCCCAGCACTTGAAGCAAGAGGATTGCTACAAGTTCGAGGCCAGCCTGAGTTACATAGTGAATTCAAGGACAGCCTGACCTACTGTAGCCAAGATAAATAATAGAATAGTTTTGAAATGGCTTAATATAAGCCTGTATGG